CTGGTGCCCTGCTGGCACTGCTTCCGGCCATCCTTAAGCCCTGTTCAGGGTCCACTTAATGTGGACATGCTAGTTCGAATTAGCAAAACGCTAATTCGAACTAGTTTTTAGTTCTAGATGCGTTAGTTCGAATTAGCTTAGTTCGAATTAACTAATTCGAACTAAGTTAGTTCGAATTAGCGCTGTAGTGTAGACATACCCTGAGCTACTTTCAATGGGAGCTGGGTTTTTTTAGACATTGGAGAATAGGGATGTAAGCGACTAGTCAACTATCTAATAAACAAAAGCTTATTGGATAGTCGACACACTAGTGTCACATGCGAAAGATGCCCAAGCGTACTCTGACACTGTAACTTATATGCCTGTTCATATAAACTTTCAAAGGGTTAATTTTGGATGTCTTTGCTTCTATTTTATGAGGCACTCATTTCTGCAGAACCTCACAATAGTGGATAGATTTTATCTTTGTAACACTGAAGTGAGGTAAGAAAATATTATCCTCATTTTGCGCCAATAATACTTAGCTCTTAGACGGTTCTTTTCATCAGTAAATCTCAAAGCAGTTTACAAAGGACTTCAATCGCCTCACTTTACACATGGGGGAATATAGGAACAGGAAGAGGAAGTCACTTGCCCAGTGTTACCCAGTGGGCTCATAGAATCAGGAAAAGCATCCAGATCTTCTGATCTGGCATCCAGATCATTGATCCAGTCTAGAGCTCTACCTGTTATTCCATGCTGCATTCCAGAATTATTGAGACTCTAGGGTACGTCTACACTTTTGGTGGTGTGTAAAGAACAGACACTGCAGGCAAAGTGAGCATATGTATAAACAGCTGTGTAAATGGTGAGGCACAGCTTGGGCAAGTGGAGTAGAGTAGGGTGCTCTGTATGCCTGAATCTCCACGCCCCTCCCCCCAGTGTGTATAGCCTACAGTGCTCTTTACATGACCAAACAGTGCCTCCCATGTCTAAGCTGCTATTTTTTAAGCAGTACAGTGTCCGGCTGCCTCCCTGCTGCCAGAGACTTTTCCACTGCAGCCTATAGCTCCGACAATATTGAAAGCTCTGGCAGGGGGGAAGCAATGAGGAAAGACACTCCATTGCTTCAGCTGCGTAGCTACGCAACGCAGTAAGAATTGCGGACACACCCTGCCTTTCATTGAGCCATGTTCCAGCATGAGCAGTGCCTGTATTCCACATGCCACCATAAGTATAGACAAAGCCTAATAGAATCAAAACGGAGCTATTGTGCACACAAAAAAGAAGACACACTGTTAATCTCAAACAGTATTCAGCAGACACACTGGAGCCGTACCCTGGAAATGTTTCATTTTGTTTTTAAACACTTTCTGTCATTGACAATTAGCGTCATTTGGTACTGGGAGTTGGGGCTAATCCTAACAAAGGAACATTTAAAACCCACATAACCACGGAAATACTTCTGCTGTAAATGATTTAAAAATACAATACTTACTATCGTGCTTCTAGTTTTGCTGTCAAAAAAGGATTCTTTGTCAGACAAATCAAATCTGTTAAACAGTGGAAAGGAGAAAAAAATATTGCTCAATGCATAAAAAGCTGTCTATACATTTCTACATGTAGGGCACTTGTACACAACAGGGTTAAAGCCGAAATAGGCAACTTGAGCTACATAATTGTGTAGCTTAAGTCAAAATAGCTTATTTCAGCTTTTGGTGCTGTCTACACAGCAGGAAGTCTGAGAGAGCACTCTTCCTCCGACTTCCCTTACTCCTCATAAAATGTGGGTTACAGGAGTCAAGTAAGAAGTCCTCCAGCTTGACATTTTTTTGACATTATGTCGAAATAACATAGTCCTCATCTACACCACAAGCAGTTATTTCAGAATAACTGCAGTAAATTCAAAATAACACTTCTGAGTAGATGTATCCTTAATGACCTCTTTTTCTTTATCCAGGAAATACTGCTGATCAGTAATGTTCACTGCTTGGGATGAAGGTTATTGCCAACAAATAGAAATGAGTCTAATCAAATATCCCTTCTAAAAGAAATGCCCATCACAAACTCTACTTTTTATAGGGTTTGGCAACACTTTTTTTGGTTTTATATATTCATAGATTTTAAGATCAAAAGGGACCTATATGATCTACTCTTACTTCTTGTATAACATGAACCTAGCATTTCGCCCAATGATTTTTTTGATCTAGCCAAGAATTGTTTTGTTTTTGTCTCCTGTACTCTGTAACTACTCTGAAAGTAGTTTCATGGGTGGGGTGGGGGAAAGGAGTAAGACTAGATGTAGTGTAAGATCCTTCCTAACACGAGTGCAAGTTAATAATCTGACCCCTTGTGACACTCAGGCATAGGATTATTTTATTGGATGAACACCCCTCGTGCAAATCTGGGCACATATCAAAGATGATACATACTCTGGTGCACAGTTCCTTTTCATGTTCTGTATCCACTAAAGGTAAAAAATAAACTTGTGTGTGGTGAAGAGGCTGTGCCCAAAGACTATTGTTTGCTCTAGGTGGCTGTTTGTGGGTATACATATAAACCATGCTTCTTCTCCCAGAGCCACATCCTCTTAAAACCTCTCTGCTCTCAAACTGAGACATGAAGAGGACCTGGCTATAGAATGGTCTTGCCGGAGCTTTCCAGAAGAAAAAAACCTTTTGCCAGACTTCAAGCTGAGACATGAAGAGGACCTGGCTATAGAATGGTCGTGCCAGAGCTTTCCAGAAGACAAAAACCTTTTGCCAGACTCTCCTTTTTTCCATGTTCCTTGACATGCATGTATATACAACTGCAATTATTTTTGAGATCTCATAATGGCTCCCAAGTTGTTCCAATTAAAATCAATGGCCAAATCAGGTCCTCTCCTTGTAGATTAGTGGTTCCCAAACTTTTTGGCATCATGCCCCCCTTTTTGAAAAACCCTCATGCCCTATTCCCCCAAATAGCATCAAAATTTGTTGAAAAAAAGAAAAAAAAAGGAAAAAAGGAACTGAACAGGGCAGCAAAACTTGATGGGGGGGGGCGAGGCTGGGCCACTTCGGGCCTCCCCTACAGGGCAGCAAAACTTGATGGGGGGGCGAGGCTGAGCCACTTCGGGCCTCCCTGGAATTTCTTCACACCCCTCCAGGGGGGCACACCCCCCAATTTGGAAACCCATGTTGTAGATGGTACACAATTATGTTTATCAATCTATTCTCCTAGCTATAAATCTTACTGAACACTTCACATTTGCAGTGAAAAGGACCACAGTAAAACTGTATTATGATATAAATGTTACCTTATATTTGAAAAGGCATACTGTATTGTTACTCTGTTCAGGCTGATTGCTACATATACTATATGACAGCTAAAATGAACACAAATGCTACAGAAAGCCTTAAAGAGCCCTATTCTTGCACAGTGAACTTGATAAGATCTAACTTCTTATGATAAGAAAAGGTGCCCATTTTTATTATCATTACTGCAATATTCATTCTGATGCATATTATTTTATTAACCTATTCATGCCTGTGTCTCAAGTGGTATTGCATTAACAGACTCCAGTTTTTGCAAACGATTAATTTAGATGAAGCTTTCACTTACAGGTGTTGTTTTTCCCGGGAGAAAGGGTAGGAGAGGCGTTTCATTGTCTGTGGTTTGTGTTCTGCTACTTTTGGTTGGATAGGTTCTGTTATTTTTTGAATTACAGAATTAATTTTTTTCAAAAGACCATGGCCTTGATTTATCTGATACACCTGAGAAGAAGGAAAACAAATAATTAATATTGTATTGCTCTCAAATTATTCATAAAAGTTACTGAAGTGTAATGACTAAGATCATCATTTAAATAAATACACTCAAACTAATGGTGACCAGTGTGCTATTGCTCGACCGTCTTTAAAAGGGTGAAAAAAATAGATAGATGGGTTTTGAAAGGGAAACACTGAAGCAAACTCAGAGTTCAATTATTCTCTTAGAGTATGTCTACACATCATAGTTATTTCGGGATACCTCTGGATATCGAGTCTTCACAAGCCACTCATTATTTTGAAATGTTTTTCAAAATAATGGGCACGCACTATTTCAGCAACCCAGTAACTCTCATTCATGATGATTAAGTGATGATTTTGAAATTTGGTGCTGGGTAGACAGCACCAAATTTCAAAATAGCCTATTCTGAAATAAACTCGAAATAAGTATGCAATTTGCATAGTGCAAATTGTTTATCTTATTTCAAGTTTAGAGTGCTGTGTAGATATAGCCTAAGAGTCAAATCTTGCCTCTTAAGTCATTCCAAAGGAAAGGGCTGGACTGCTTAACAGACCTAAAACTGTAGCTCTACTCTGTGGCAGGTTAAAGGCTGAAGGAACTTCGGTGGCCCTTGTAAGCCTCTCTGTGGGGTGAGAGAAAGGACCATTCTTAAAGTGGAGGGTGTGTGATGGGCGTACTCTCCCCACACTAAGCAGGAGGGGGTTAAGCCAGCCCTGAGGGCTGAGAACGTCTCACCCCCTATGTCTTACTGGGGATGTTTGAGCTGTACTGCTATAAAAAGAATCAGCTTAACTCAGTTGGGGTGGTGGCTGGAGGGGGAGGATGTGCCTTGCCAGCTCCAGGCAAACCACAGAGACTACCCAAATGCTGAGGCGCTACCATGTCGACTGGAGGCTTGACACAACTAGAGACCTCACAGATTCCAGATGTAAGCAGAAGCAGCCAGATCCAAGATGAAGGAGGGGAGCTGGAGATCCATCATTGAGCAGACACACCCTAGAGCAGGAAGGAGCAGGAAGCAGCCCAAGGAAGGTGACAGCTACATGGTGAGTGAGCTGAAGTGAGGGAGTCAGTGTTTCAGATGGAGCTTTTCCCTGCTGACTCAGTGGCTACAGAAAGCCACTAACAGGGCCTGGGCTGGAGTCCACTGGAATGGGTGGACCTTTCCCCTATCAACCGTCCCTTAATAGACTCTGACCACTGGGTTGTATTGGAACTATTGAATTGTGCTGCTCTGCCAATTGAGGGAAGTTAATCTCTAACTATGGGGTCACCCCACCCCAGGGACTAGTGGGAGGGTTCAGACAGACTTTGGTAGGTGAGATTAAACACATTGCTGGGGAACAAAGTGGAAAATATGAGTGTGACAGGTGCGAAGCTGGCATCCTCACACTGCCCGGAACGGGGCCTTCTCCCCAGTCATGTGACAAGGATCTACATAGTCCTTAAGTCCCATGAACTGCTGAGTGTAACCACACCAAATGCAACCTTCTGATCTCCATAGTACCCAGGGAAACTTGCATGTGAATGCCCTGCATTGACTTTTGACTAATGGAACTACAGTGGAACTACTTTTTACCAGTGCAGTAACAGCAATTTGGCATTCCAGTACCAAACAAGTGCCAAAATCATACAAGAATAGAATTAGAAGATAAAGAAATTGACCTATGAAGGAAGGCTGAAGGAATTGGGCTTGTTTAGTTTGGAAAGGAGAAGACTGAGAGGGGACATGATAATGGTTTTCAGGTATCTAAAAGGGTGTTACAAGGAGGAGGAAGAAAAATTATTCTCCTTAGCCTTGGCGGTTAGGACAAGAAGCAATGGGCTTAAACTGTAGTAAGGGAGGTAGAGGTTGGACATTAGGGAAAACTTCCTGTCAGGGTGGTTAAACACTGGAATAAATTGCCTAGAGAGGTTGTGGAATCTCCATCACTGGAGATATTTAAGAGCAAGTTAGACAGACATCTGTCAGGGATGGTAGACGGTATTGGGTCTTAGTGTGAGGGCAGGGGACTGGACTCAATGACCTCTCAGTCTCTTACAGTTCTAGTGTTCTATGATTCTATGAAAAGAATAAACTACACAGCCTGAGCCACAAAGTTCTGCTCTAAATCCAGATACAAACCACCTTCAGTGTCTAGATGAAATGGTTTGGTTTGAGCTCATTTCCAGGTGCAGCCAAGTGAAAATTCATTCCTAACTTCTACTAGGCACAAGCAATAACTGGTCTATGGCTATGTCTAGACTATATTCGCTAGGCACAAGCAATAACTGGTCTATGGCTATGTCTACACTATATTCCTCTTTTGAAGGAGGAATGTAAATGAGGCAAATCGAAAGTGCAAATTAAGCGTGGATTTAAATATTCTTCACTTCATTTGCATATTCACATCTGAGCGCTTTTTCTAAAAAGGGTTTTTGAAAGTGAAAGTGCAGTCTAGATGGGGTTATTTTAAAAAAAACCTCCTTTTTCAAAAGAACCCGTACTCCTGAAAAAATGAGGGTCTAGAATCCCGTCTAGACTGCGCTTTCACTTCCAAAAAACCCTTTTTTGAAAAAGCGCTCAGAAGCAAATATGCAAATGAAGTACGGGATATTTAAATCCACGCTTCATTTGCATTTTTGATTTGCCTCATTTACATTCCTTTCTCGAAAGAGGAATGTAGTTTAGTTGTGCCCTATGAAACCTCTCACTTACTGTCTTGACAAAAATGCCCTTTCCTGTATGATACAAGAGCTCCAACAAACTTAATGGTCTTAAAAAAAAACACAGGAAACATAATTAAAATAAGGAAGGTGATAAGTGGGCTAAAATGCCACTAATACAATATTTAAAGCAAAAGTTTTATTTTAACTTGCAATAAATTACTTTGGGCTTTGAGGCGCTCTTTCATTCCATTAGAGACTTCATTCTCTGTAATATCTGGAACCTGCACTTAGGATGTCATTAAATATTAATCCACCTCTAAGTTATGTTCAATGAACAGGTACAGCTACATAGCAAAGATTATTTAAATTTTGGTCTGCAGAGAAAATACACTATTACTTTTATAATGACACTTCAAATATTCCAAAGGGTAATTTTTCTAAGCTAATTTAGTCCCACACCCTGCAAACAATTATGTTCATGATTAACTTTATGCACATGATTAGCCTCTGAGCACAAAAGGACTATTTGCATCTAAAATGCTACTTCCCCATGTGTATGGTCAGGTCTGGGGCTCTGCTGGGCTAAGAAAAAATAGCATCCCCCATCCTGTATATTTAAGAGTCCATTATCAGCTGCAAGCTAACATCGCAAAACATACCAAATACGGTACAAATCCATTTGTATTGGGGATGTAAAATCCTGTTTTATTGGTTAACCAGTTAAATGCAATGTTTAACCAGTTAACTGATTAAATGGGGGGGAGGGGGCAGAGAGGCCACTCCAGCCAGGCTGGGCTGCAACAGGCCCCCTTCCTCCCACTGCTACTCTGGCAGGGCTGAAGTGCCCCTGTCTATTGTGGGTCCTGATGGGCTAGAGCACCTCCTGCTTGCAGCAGACAGAGAGCTGCTCCAGCCCCACTAGTTAACCAGGACCAGTTAACCTTTCACATCCCTCTTTTGTATCAAATAATGAACTGGACCAGGAGCCAGGAACTCTTGCTTTCTGTTCCTAGTTATTGCCATGATGCTTTCTGTGGCATTTGGCAAGATAATTAGCCCTTCTTTCTCCATTTCCTTATGGGTAAAAGGCAAATACTTATTTCCCTCCCAAGATTGTTGTTGATTAGTTAATGCTTGTAAAGTGCTGTGAGAATGAAAAGCCTTATAGAAGTGCTATGTGTAAACTGTGTGTTTATGTGGAAGAAAAGAAAATCATCACTAACCTTTTTTGTGGGCATCTTGAGTTTCAGAAATTCTGCCTCCCGGCACAAAACATTCCAAGGGGCATGTATTTTTACAAATCCAACTCCATGTATTTTAGTCTAAAAAAGGAGGGGGAGGGGGAAGAGAGTTCATTTAGATGAAATAAAATAAGATGCTATTTTTGTCTAGTTACATACGCAATGAGGGATTAAATAGTCCACAACAGACATTATAAATCTTATCTGTTTAAAAAAAAATGGGTGTCTAAATAGGTATGATAAAAATCATTGAACGAATCAGATTTGCTGTCCACAAGGTGCTCGCACCACAAAACTCTGTTCTGCAACAGAATAATTATCCCAAGGTAGACTAATCTTATTTTAAAGTGAGAAAATAAATGTTTGGAATATAAAGAGTATTTGCCCTGGATATACACCCAGTCACTCAAATTTGCGTAAGACTAGAATATGTCTAAATTGTAGTTAAAAACACACTGCTGATCCAGGTCAGCTGAATTGGGTTTACCAGGCTCAAACTAAGAGGCTGTTTAACTGTAGTGCAGATGTTTGAGCTCAGGCTGGGCTATGAGTTCTAGGACCCTGAAGGATGGGCATAGACATACCCGAAGGGGCCTGAGCCTATAGGGTTTTGAGTATCTTGTGCAAGGTGTTTAATGGCTGGTCAGCAATGTCTCACAGCATACACATCAGAACCTCTAAGGATCAGAATCACAGACTTTTTGTAAGAAAGAGACAAAAATGCATCATCTGCAGAGCTATTGTCTACATCTGAGCTTAAATGGTAAATTTTTACATTAGTACTTCAGAAAGATGTATAGAAAAATATCCAATTTCTTCATACACTGATCCAGATTCTTCCCTGTAGTAGGGCATGGCTGACATGCAGCTGTCCTAAAGCCAACCTAACTAACTATGTGAAGATCACCCTAATGTAGAGGGAACCCAGAGGGCAGAGAGTTGCTGTAATGGTTCCTATGACAATTCCCTTCCCAGATGCTAACATTCAAGGTTAGAGTAAGGAGTCACTTAACATTTCATCTTATAAAACTTTTTTCAACAGACACATTTCTTCATTACCCCACAGTAGTAACTGAGATGCTGAAGGAGTCCATGCTTGCTGAAGGAGTCCGATGCAGAGGGCAGTATGTAATTGCCAAAACGAACAGACAGAGCATGCCAATGCATTTCACAAAAGCAGACTTGTGACATTTGATCTGAGGTACATTGTTAGCCTTAAAGAAATCAGCAGATCGTATTAAGAGAAATCCATGGAGCTCCCTAACATATACAGGCCACAGGAATTGCTCCCATTTATTTTTTGCCCGCCTTTGCCAGCCAAGTACACATGTAATATTTGGGTCTTAGGTTACACAATACAAAAATATCCGAAGAGCCGCAGAGCAGATTTGACTTCCTTGTTGATGTACCTACTCTCTTTATCTCTGGCCTGCACTTAAGTTGAAGAGCTTTCACATGAACAGCTGTGCTATCTATGTGTAGAGGCAAGGAAGTCTGTAGAGAGTTTCAAAGCCACCAATACAGATGCTGTATTTGAAGAACGGGAACCTTCAAAAGAAAACCATCTCTCTTGAAATACTGAAAGCAAGGAAGAACTGGGAGTGATTCCATGATTTTGAAAGTATATCCTTGCAAAGATGACAGATAACAGCACTGGGCCTTTTTGTTCCCATGTACAATGGAAGTGTTGGGAACTCCAAATGTGTGCAAGAAAAAAAATCTTCCTGCTTATCCCCCTCATTACAGTTTTGTGTAGATGCTATTAGGCCACTGAAAAGAAGAATCCTAGGAAGATGTGCAACTAGCAAAAGAGGATTGCCTTATCAGATTCCTGTGACTGTCACCCTCAGCCATATGTGGTAGAGATTTTCCAGCACTTACAGTCACCCTCAATCCTCCAGGCCCTTGATCAGATGCATTTATATGTACGCTAGCGGGCTGCACCCCATGTTCGCTATGCTCGCCAACCCCCCTCTCTCTGGCCACAGAGAGTAAGAGTGTGATGACATCTCTCTGTCACCCATCGGAAAAAAACTTTTGAGAGAGAGATTATATCGTGAAAATGTTTTTCTACCCTTACAATTGAAAAGCACAGAGTGAATGGTTCCCACCATTCATCAGTTCCACAGGCTATTCAATTTAAACTAGGTTACAGCTTTAAACAGCAAAAGACTTTAATCTCAGCGTTTTCTTTTTCTATTCTCACTGCTGTACTGGCTTATGCAACTATAAAAATTTATTTTCAGTCTGCAATACTCTGCACCTGCTTTCCAGAAATACATTACTCAGGGGCCATAAATAGTTGCCATCTCCAATGTGTCAACTTCAAAAACATTTGAGTTAAACTCTCTCCTGTGAAGTTAAGCATTAATATAAGTTTTCCCTTTGCCAAATACTCACTTTTACTAACTTTTAAGACCTGTTGTGTGACTTCATAGCTCTCCCAGTAATGCCTTTCAGATTCAAGCAAGTGGCTGCAAGCCTTTTGCTTTACACTCAAGCTTTCAAGATGAAAGTTGATGTAGATCCCTGTAGCTCTCATCTCTATACATTCCTGTTCTATTTTAATATCTTGTATTGGGCATGTATGATGTCCTCACTTGAACTCAAAGACCTTCAATATTATTTAAAGCAGTATTACATGTCATAGGTGGGGACGCCCTATCATGTAAACTATTTTAATCTGCATGACTTGGCCAAAGAGTGCGCCAAACTACTATGGTAGTTTGCAAACCAGATAGAAGGCTCTTGTTATTTTCATTTGGAAATATAGAACTTGAAATGGAAATTGATTTCACTTTTCCAGGGTTTGTCCTATCTGTACATTCATGAATGTTTAATGGACATATTTAGGATTTTTTAATGTGCAGATTATAGGTCTAAGACCCAGGTTTTAGATTTTGTAAATAAAATTTACAAAATGCTTACATTCTCCCTCTGCAAACCTCAGGAATATTGGCTGGATCAGTTAATTAAAATATAGTCATTGCCTTTGAAATGAATCTGACCATAGCTATTTCTACTAATCACATTGGCAGCAGATCACATACACCCCCAATTATTTTACATGGTCTTTTAATAGAACACATTGTTTTTGCTGTGCAGGTGAAAGGAGTCACGTACAGCACACTGATCTCTAATCATATTGGAAGTCCATGGACTTAATCTACACCATTTACAGAAGTTCCCATGAAAAGATTTAATTCCTTTGAAGGCTAATCTGAGAAGTGATCATTTTAGTGCATATAACTCTTTTTCAAACAGATTGGAATTACAAGCCAGATAATTTAAATTCAATTTGGATAGCGACCCAAGTTCAAAGGGGTACAAATCTGGAGGGTTTTTTCCAGGCTCAGTTTTATCTGTAATATTAAAACATCAACAACTTCTACTATAATAAAGGGTACACTATCATGTAAACTTTTTAGAGCTTGTCTTAAATTGAGACAAAGTTAGGGAAGTAAGCGACTAGTTGACTAGCCAACTACCCGATGAGCCTAGGTGTATCGGGTAGTCAAATCACTACTCGACTAGTCACTCGGGGTGGGAGGGGTTCAAAGGTTAACCAGTTCCAACTAACCAGTGAGGGCTGAAGCAGTCCCTGCTCATGCCGGGTTCCCCATTGCACCTCTGCCTTTTAAAATGTATTAAGAGTCCCACGGGGCTCTTACTACATTTAAAAGGCAGAGGTGCAGCGGGGATAGCAAGCGCTCTACTCCCTCCTTATCAAGTAGTCAATGGAAATCCCATTGGCTACTTGATTAATCAACTAATCAAAATTTAACATCTCCAAACTAGGTCAATAGGTTCTAACTGTTAGGTCAAATTCACATCTATCAACTAATCAAAATTTAACATCTCCAACCTAGGTCAATATTTTAAGCACATCAACAGAGAATTGTTCAGTCTAACTGTTAGGTCAAATTCACATCTCAATTTTGAACATTCCAAAAAGTTCAGGGATGTTCAGAACTCAGGCTTGATACGGGTCCACGTGAAATGTTTTAAAAGTCTCTTAAATTACAGATTTTAAAAGAATTCTACATGTTTTAACAAGAAGGCTAATTATGAAGTTCCATATAGATCAGTTAGAGCAGGGGTTCACAACCTTTTTCTCTCTCAGCCTCGTCCCCTCAGGATGCTGTAAAAATCCCACAGCCTACCTGTGCCACAGTAAAGGGCTTTGAATATAAAAACTAGAGTTGGCATTATGGGGTAGCAAGCGTGGCAATTGCTGCCCCTCCCCCCCCAAGAAGCTTCATTGCTCGGGCTTCAGCTTTCTGCCCTAGGCCCCCCTTAGTTTAATACTGTACTAGACCTGAAACCTGCTCACAACTCCCCATGGGGCCCTGGACCCATGGTTAAGAACTACTGTGTTAAAGATCACTTAATGACTTTTTTTTTCTTATGTCTGTATGAATTTCTCTTCCACTCCTCTTTTGTCCTCCACTCCACCCTAAGGGTATGTCTACACAGCAAATAACAGCCGTTATTTCGAAACAACTTTCCTAGCATCTACACAAGCCAACTGCTATTTCAAAATTAATTCGAAATAGCAGAGGGCTTATTTCGAAATTGGTAAACCTCATTCCACGAGAAATAGTGCCAATTTCAAAATTGCTATTTCAAAATAAGCGCTGCGTAGACACTTATTTTGAAATAGGGGGCCTCCAGCCTTTCCCAGGGTGCCCTGCTGGCCGCCCTGGCCACAAGGTAACTTCTGACCTGATGCCCTGCCGGAACCAGTTCTGGCTGGCCTTAAATGCAATTCAGCATCCAATCAGTGTAGATGTGCTATTTTGAAATAGCAAAAAGCTATTTTGAAATGCATTGTGTGTGTAGATGCATTATTTTGAAATAACTATTTCAAAATTAGATATTTTGAAATAACGCTGTAGTGTAGACATACCCTAACAGGTGGGGAAGAGTTATGGATGGGGCACAGTTAGGGGGAAATACTGCAGACATCTGAACGCTGAAGATGGAGCTCCTGTGGGAGAGAAATCAGGATTTCCAGAGTAGGAGAGTGGGCTCTTCAATATATATGGCAACCCTGAGATCTGCTGGGAAACAAACATATCTGGCCATCTGCAAATACGTCAAAGACATTCAGTGAGGGCTGGACCTTCTGTGATATTCCTCTGCTGCTTCTTTTTCCCCAGCAGTAAGTAGTACCTCCTAAGGAACCGTGCCTCTCTGGCCCCTCCTCCAAAATACCTCTCAGGGATGGGACAGAAGGAGGGTCATAGACAATGAGAGACAGGTTCTGAGGGTTGGTGCTTAATATTAATAAGGTCAAAACTCATTTCCATGGGAATTTCTTAACTAGTTTACCTGGAGAAAATGCTACATAAAGACTTCCCCATGCTACTGTCTGGTCACCTTCCCATTCTATGCCCCACAAAACCTGCAGTGCCTGCTTAGGAAGGCCTTGTGTAGACTCAGTGAGCAGAGTGTGTGTGAACAAACAAGGGGATTCCATTTGTTTCAGTCCCTCCACACCATGAGAGGCTATAGCCATTATTGTCTTGAATGTTTTCACAATATATTTGCTTCTCTAGGAGTAGATCAGTGCTATGGGCATTATCTAGAATATGAATAGTTCAGAGAATCTAAATATTGCTACCGAGCATATAGAGTAACATTTTCTCAGCATTTTTAGAATCTATCAGTTTGTGTCAGGTTTTGTCCTTGAAAGCTCATTCTATATATGTATTTTTGTTTGTCTCTAAGGTGCTACAGAACTACTCTTTTTTTAATGTTACAAACTAAACATGGTTATCCCTCTGAAACTTGTGTGTCATTTACATTCATGAAGATGCAAAAGTTATATCCTATTATACTAAAACAAATGTGAAGTAACCTGTATGCGTCTCACAATTACTAAGGCTTATTTGTTACTTATTTGTCTCAGCTGCCTATGAGGCTGTTTAGAGCTGCGGATACCTATTTTAGTTTAGTGCAGTCTTCAGGCAGTTAAGTTCAGGCTTCTACAACCACAATGCACTTGTATCCCCATATCACATATTTTTCCAGTGAAATAAGGGTATCTGTCCGGAAAATGTCAAACATGCTCCAATTTTATTCTTTACTAAATGCTCAGAGTACTTGAATTCCTGGAGGATGAAAATGCCATAAGAAACATTGTTTTTAATTTAGTAATAAAAATTTGAATTTATAAAACATTCAGTTCAGAAGCTATGTTTTTGTATTCTAGAAGATCAACTACGTGATGGTGCTGACACAGTGAATTACTGAGATGACTGGTATCAAAGGGATTCGAGGATGCTACAAAAAATAAGGGCCAAATATTGGGAGGCTACGAGCACCTGTAACTCCCAACAGGGGTTCTCAGGAACTGCTTGATAGTTCTCAATATTTGACCCTTTCTTATTAAGGTAAAAAGACAGTTCAAAAGTCTACTTACATCTTCATCTCTTTCCAACTCCAGACCAGCCTCCATGAGATTGCCTTCATACTCCTCTCTGCGGAATCTCTTATCATCTTCATGATAATCCATGTGTGGTTCACTTTCTCCCATCTCAAGATGTCCACCCTTCCCAGGAAGTGGTTGATCCTGTTTGATGCTTCGGGCACTTGAGTCATTGTGATGAATTCGCCTAGCAAGTGTCCTACTTACAGAGGACTTCTTGTAATGGTAAACCAGGATGTAGTCCACTTTCCTCTTGCCATCTCTAAAATAGAGTCCATATTTGCAGTTGGCATCTGGATCCTGACACAGCGAATTTAATAACTGTGAGCATAGAGGAGGGAAGAAGAGTTATTTGCAGACATGGACACCAAATAAACCAAATATTAAAAGAAACCACATTCACACTGTTTATGCTCATAGGCTATGTCTACACAGCAGTGTTATTTTGGAATAACTGACGTTATTTCAGAATAACATTGTGCATGTCTACATTGCCAGCCTTTATTCTGAAATAATTTTGAGCTGGAGGACTTCTTACTTCGACTCCTGTAACCCTCATTTTACATCTGTTGTGTAGACAATGCCACCAAAAGCCGAATTAAGCTATTTTGACTTCAGCTATGTCAATTGCGTAGCTTAAGCCGAAATAGCTTAATTTGACTTTAGCCTTGCTGTGTAAATGTACCCCTACAGAGCAGAGAATGTCCTTTCTTCAAAGCAGACCGTGAGAATTTGAGGGCTGCCATCTGTGCCAACAAAATCAGAAGTTTTGCAAGTTAGCACTTGCAATTCTGTTGAGTGATGGTTGGCCTTTTATTGCTCAGAAATAAAGAAAGAAAATGACCTGCATTTTTCTAAATACCATCACTAGTCCATAAGTGAACTATTCGGTGGGATTGATTTTCCCTCTTTGTAGGCTAATCACCAGTAAGATCATCTGTCATTCTTCACAAAAGACATCTGTGTTTTTAATTCTGATAAAAAGATTAATATCATGTGCAAACATTTCTCACTTCTTGTATCTATGAATGTAAATTTGTATCATCTGAGAGAGATCATCTTAGAGACTAAAAGGAGTCAGCTAGCTATGAAGTTGATGGAGCAAAAAATGCAACTGGCAGACAGGAAACCAGATTCAGTCCTTGCTTGTTTTGATTTTTTTTCTCTCTCATGTACAGGTACAAAATTTGTCTCATTGCAATTTGATGGTAGAAAAGATATGCACTCCAGATTATAATAATTCACTGCAAATTAAAACCTATTTACACTGATGTTATGAGATGCAAGAAACCCTATTTCTGAAACTGCAGAGATAGCCTAACAGATACAGAAACTGCCAAAAGGAGCTGAAAGCATGCTGTCTGATTCTGGAAGAAATCTAGGATGAAGTTTTTTAGTCAGAGATATAGGCTGAAAAGAGCATTTGTGAGCAAAAGAAGCTGTTTCTGCTATTTGATTCCTTTTGCATTCAGAGATACAAGACTATGTATATTCTTTGTAAAGAAAGAAAACTGCATCAAAGAAATACCTAACTGCTACCAATTTCTGCTCCCAGCTGCAGCCAGGGCCCCAAACTTTGGCTAGTCACTCAAGTAAAAATGGCAACAATATGTAGTTCTTTTCACTTGATGATCTCAAACCTAGCCACTGTGTGAACTCAGTTTTGTTCCTCCAAATGTCTGCATCTACTCTTATGGACCCAGCAAACTTCAAGATGCTAAATCACTATTGCTGTGTTGCCATACTGCTGTTGTGTAAATAACTCTGCCCTGATGGGAAGTGGTTTCTCTGTTGCTATAGGAATTCTTCCTCTCTGATCCACAGTAGCTAGGTCAATGGAAGCATTCTTCCACTAACTAGCTGTGTCTACACCAGGGATTAGGTCAAGTTAGCTACAGTGCTCAGCCATGTTGACCTAACTTCAAATGTAAATGAGGCTTCTTTCTAGCCTTCTTTTTGTCTGTTCAGCTTCTTTCCCCTCTGACACCCACACCTGACCTCTCATAACACTCAGCAAAAGCTCCTGACTGCATTTGCATATTCTATGTGTTTTTACAGTTACGTTAATTGAAGGATATGTTTATACTCATTGGCTGGTCAGGTTTTAATGAGGCATATTACAAGGTTTGATCCTGCTCATATCAGCATTCACAGTTCAATACAGTACAGTCTACATGAGACTCAATATTAAGAACTCAGGACCAGATTAAAATAAAATCCTTCAACATATATGAAAAACAGGTAAATTTTGGTAAAAGGGGTCTTTGTTGGACTGCATACGGTGATCTAAAGAGAACTGATAAACACTTCAAATAGGAGCTAGTCTGGGGTGGCCAAGCAAAAGTGTTTCTTGTTTTACAAGCATAGTAATAACATAATTAAAAGGTAACAAGATATTATTTAAAAATGAGTAGTCCTATGGCACCTTAGAGGCTAATTATATATACATATATAAATATATAATCTCAAGAGCTTTTGTGGGCAAAACCCACTTCTGCAGATGAGCTTGCTGAGAAAGTGGGTTTTGCCCATGAAAGCTCATGATACTAATATGTATGTGTATAAGTTTCTAAGGTGCCACAGGCTACTCATTGTTTTTAAGGTTACAGACTAACTTGGCTACCCCTCAAAGATATAATTTATTCATTGTTCATTTGGTGATGAGGAAAGAACGCAGATGAAACCATTCCTCTCAGCATCCCCCTTCAAGAACACCATTTGGACATTCATTTTGCAGGGGGCAAGATGTGCAGATTTTGTAAAAGCAAAATATTCTGTGATAGAAAAGACTTCAGACTTCATGCCATCAAACCTTGTAAATGCAACTGGCCATTCTCAGTAAGGTCTGGGAATTCTGGGGGACTTCATTAAGACCACCAGTTTCATTACATTGTGAAAGCTTGTGGTCAAATGATGATTTTTTCAGTAAAATACAGTCTAGTGTAAAAGGTAAAAGTTAGGGCCAGATCCTAAGCTGCTGGGCGCCAACTATTCCCACTGAAGTGGATGGGACTTTCTAGGATTCTCAATATCTATCAGGGTCAATTCTGAAAAGTGCTAGGTATCTTCAGTTCTTATTGAAATAAATGGGCTTGTCTGTGGAAGTCACAAGGAAGCAATTTTCAGCTCCCAGATTCTGTGGCTCTTCTACACTGGATCAAGCAGATGGTTCCAGCAGATTAGAAAAAGTTGACACTCTTAGGGTATGTCTAGACTACATCCCTCTGTAGAAAGAGGGATGTAAATGAGCCCGATTGAATGTGCAAATGAAGTGCGGATTTAAATATCCTGTGCTTCATTTGCATATTTGAGTCCGATTGCTGTTTTGAAAAAGAGTATTTTGAAAGTGAAACCACAATCTAGACGCGGTTCTTCTTAACCCCCCCCCCTTTTCGAAAGAACCCGTGCTCCTCATTTTTTCAGGAGTACGGGTTCTTTCGAAAAAGGTGGGTTTTTTTTAAAGTACTGCATCTACACTGCAGTTTTACTTTCGAAATACCCTTTTTCGAAACAGCGAACAGATCAGAATATGCAAATGAAGCATGGGATATTTAAATCCGCACTTCATTTCCGCTTTTGATCGGGCTCGTTTACATCCCTCTTTCAACAGAGGGATGTAGTCTAGCTGTGCCCTTATTATAGCATGTACCCACAGGGCCACCTGACATCTGGAAATCATCAGAGAGCAGTGAACCATGGCCACACCATTTTCTATTCCCAGCACACCCTCTGTAATAAGGGGTTGCCAAGGAGGGCAAAAATGGGTTCACTTTCTGTTCCCTTTTAGCCATGAGAGCAGCAGCAGCAGGACAGATTGAATCAAAGAATCTGAACCAGTGGATGATGAGCACTTGCATCAATTCTTACAATTGGGCTCCTCATTTGAAAACTCCATTTGTATTGTCCAATCAATCACTCTTTCTCTCTCTCTCGAGAACAATTCTTGTGGAAATGTCACCTTATACAAACAAATGTTATTCACTTAATGATAAATAGAATGTTTTAATGTTTTTTGTCATGTTTTTTTCCCCCAACAGCATGGTCAACACACTTAAAACCTATTTTATTTTAGAGAGTGCTTAATGAGCTGTAGTGTATGCGCTTCAAGTGGACAATACAGATGGTTTAATTTTGGAGTCATTCACTAGTGATTTGCTAAAGTTTAAGAATGACACCAGAGCTCCAAAAAAAGCACGGGCACAGTGCCAAGATTCAGAAGCAGAATGGGAAATGCACTGAGGACCCAAAAAAAGCAGGGAAATGTGCCAATGCTCCAGAGTACAAAGCAATATTGCTTCTTTCTCTCTGTCCCAAATGGAGTCACATTTGTAAAGCTTTCGTGCCCACATCATCGTCCGGGGAGACTATAAGCATCAACGTAAGCAGCACATATGCTTATTTCATTTTGTAAGGACAGGAGAGAATCTAATTGATCTTAGAAATTAGAAAACATGGGCACCTCCCACCCCACAGCTTATAAATACAGATCTGATTGAATACATTTCTCCCAGGCATTGAGATTCTCATCTC